TCTTCCCCAAGAGCTGGACTGAGCCCAGCGCCATGCGGTATCTCCCAGGACTTGCCAGGCAGTGGGCGTTCGCAGTGCTAGACACAGGACTCTCCTTCCCAGTGCTCCTGGACCAGGAGGGACGAACCTGGCTGTGGGTGGCAGGTGTGTGCTTTGGGGCCAGGTCTTTGTGTACCCATAGCCCAGCAGGGAATCGGTCCTCAAATTTCACCCACTTCCCCGCCCACTTCCCCTGGCCAATCTGTCCCAAAAGTCAGTCATACTGGTGCATAGCCTGTAGAGCTGGCTATTTTCACCCTAAAAGCAAGCAAGATGGAGAACAAATTGTGTCGTGGCTTGCGACACACAGACATTTATGAGTGGTGGCTGAAACACTGAACCTCTTGGCTCGCTCCCTTGTTTCTGGTGTAGCTTTAAACAGGGTATCCAGGAAAACCCAATATTATTCTGATCCATCTGCTATCATCCTGTTCACCATGGGACTAAATTCCTCTCTGCACACACACGCTCAGGAGCTCATTTTACAGTCATTTGCCATCGCTTATTTAGGGAAGAACAGAGACATTATATTTTACTCCCCACCTCTTAATGTTTAAAAGCCACAGTACAGCCCCCAATATGTATTTAGCTGTGCTCCAAGATTTAAAAGCTTTTAAATGTGGAATGAGGATATCTACAGGACGGGGAAGGCTGGCATCATACTTTCAGAGTTGGGGAGAAGGTATTTCCTCTTACCCCTCTATCAGTCCCATCGTTACCACTGATGTTGCACCTGCATAACAGACCCTGGTGTCTGAGGCTGCTGGACACAGTAAAAGATGTTCATCCCAGCTGCCTTGGGTTAGGAAACCAGATCCTCCTCTTGATAAGCCTGGTGGGTACCACATCAGGTCTCAGGACCTGAGGAACTGAGCATCACGCTGGGCAAGAGTGATACCTTTTTTTATGAAACCTAATGCAAACATGTTAATCATTTCATTTGCTTCAGCTAGGTGACCTAAAAATGTCATCTTCCATGAAATCTTAGCAAAACCGTAAATAACTGTTTACACTACAAAACCAGGCTTAGCTCTACCTGTCACTGGTTTTTATTACACACTGGAGGGGATGCAAAGGGAGAGGAGGAGCAAGGAGGGTTGTAGGATCTGTGAACCTTTTTCACCTGGAAAGGTGTGACAGGACAAGCCAGAAGAAGGGAAGCAGGGAAGGATTAGATGGGAGGAAGGTGCATGTGGGAAGGAGCACTGACATTTGGCATTCAGACTCCCTGTGTGAGGTGCGGTTTGCAGGGCTCAGGTTCAGCTGTGCATGTTTGTGCCCCTTGCTGGCACTGGGGTGGGAAAGCGGTGCAAGTGTGATAAGAAACCCACACGAGCACATACTGCCAGCCAGGATGACAAACGTGAAGGCTCAAGAGCTTAGCACAGCAGCTCCGCTCCCCTGCTCACCAAACCTCTTCCACACCAAGAGGTAGCCTGGTACAAGGACCGCTGCTTTGTGCCTCTGGTCCACCCTCCTCATCTCGGTCCCTGGTGCTTTATTTTCTCAACAGCTTCACTCCTCAGCACACAAGTGTGATCCCAACACCAAACAGGTAACGCAGAAACCTCCCAGCTCTACAGCGTCCCTGTCTTTCCACCTCACCACACACTGGGGTCTCCTGTTGGGTTCAAAACAGCCAGTGAGGGACCTGGGTTTTGTCTAACAAGCAGCTGGAAGCAACGGTGATGAGGGATCAGGAACAGGGCAGAACAGAGCATGAACTAAGAGGAAGAACCTCCAGGCAAAGGCAGAGGAGAAAAGCTGTAGCTGCAGCCTGGACACATGTTGGCTTCTTTGGGCTCTGTAATAAACAAGTCTGTAAAACATGAGCTTGTCTCTTCAGAGACAAGAGTTGTTCATAGATGTCCTACACCACCATGGGGACCCAGTCCCCCTCCCCTAATTGGGACCTCCAACCCAGACAATCCTGCCAGCTCCTGCAAGAGCTCAGGACTCAACTGTGGAGATGAATCCCCCAGTTTCTTGATTTTTGCAAATCCAGCAAAAACCTGATTTGTCACATTTTCTCCAGCCCTGTGAAATATTATATCCTTGCATGTGGCACACAGCTATTTTTGCCTACTGTGAAGCCCAATTCTGTCCACAGTAGGCATTCATAAAACACTGCCACATGCACACACGCGCATACGCACTCCTGTACCAGCAGAAAAATAAACACCAGGGGCATATTAAAAGAATAAATCCTTTGTACAGCAAAGGAGAAGGAGTCTCACTGCTAGCTGTACAGCGAGCTCAGGAACAGTCCATCGGCTGTGACACACACTAAGGATTCGCTGTGCAGAGACCTCTGCTAAAAGCTACACACACCCAAAAGCAAGCCCAAAGTGAGGTGCAGATTGCAGCAATTAGCGACAGAAATTAAATCCCCACACCTGTTTCTGTAGGTTTGTAGAAGACAGCTCTGCCCAACATATTCTCCAGTGCTTCAAACAAAAGCATTCCCAACTCCCTTTGGGGACTTCTCTCCAAAGACCCTCTGAAGGGTCTACTTCACAACACTTATTTTTGCAATTTTTCTTTGCAGAGTTACATCCCATCACTCAGACCAGCCTAAGCAGCATTTCTGCTTTGTCAGCAGCTATTGGAGAAATACTCCCTAGTTGCAAGCTTCATCCTCAGCTTGCTCTGTACCATCTTGTTCCCCTGAAACAACCAAGTTGGCTTTTTTTTGTTGTTACTCAAGTCTAAATTAGGGTTTGCGTCAATGGTGGAAAACCCGAGTTAACAAAAAGGGAAGGGTGCTCTGGCTTTAGCCATAACCATCTCAACACATGGATTAAATATTCTTCCCTGTATATTACTCTTCCCTACTTCTGGGAAGAGCAATATATTAAGCAATTATATATAACATTCCTCCCTATTTCTGGTTGTGATGGGAGCTTGTCTCTAGGAGCAGCAAGGGCAAGGCCAGGCTGAGCTGGCATTACCCTGAGGAGAACAATACTGCTGGAGACAAAGCAGGAGTGTGGGTCTGTTCCAGGTCTGTCCTCTCTTTATGAATTCCCAATCTGTGCCTGTTGCAATACATCAAAGTGGTTAATGATTATCAGGGCCCTGCTATTTTAAGCCTACTGGGAGGAGTGGTGAGAAAGGATGGGAAAAAAATTATTGCCAGTGCCCCCTTCTGATGCTCAGTATATCTAGGGAAAAAATAATGACGTCAGGAGCAGCATCACCTCTGCTGCACGCTGGTGTCAGTGTTTTGCCTGGCCATTTTATCTGTCATTTGTCAGTGCTGGGAGCCCATCCGCACATTGCTACCAAAGCTGCAGCTGCTCACCCACCAGCAGGCAGTCACAGGATGTGTTTCCCAGGCCTGTTCTTTTAACTATAAATTAAGTAGAACAAATTTGCCCACTCAGTCTCCTTTGAACATGGCAGGGCTGGGGACAATGGCGTCATTGGGTTAGAACGTGGTCTTCTGGGGTCTCCCAGCTCCAGCTGTGCTGACCTACGTCTGCTGCCTGGGCTGTTCCTGAGCATCAGCTCAACTAGAAAGAGCCACGTTAGCAACATCCTGCTACCACAACTATTAAAGCAAACATTCTGAAAACGAGTGCAAGCTGTACAGCAAACCAGGATGGTTGATGGTGATCTTAACCCCTGCAGTTTTTCCTCAGCTTGTGTTTTCCCTGCTCAGGTGTGCAAAGTAGCATCAGTCGTCGGCATCACCCACAGGACTAGTGCCCTGGACCAGAGCTGGGCAGTGAGAAGCTGAAAGAGGCATCCACGTCACAAGGGCTCCCATCTCTCTCTGGGCATGCACATGCAGCTGCTGCTGCTCATGGGAGTAGCTGCACACGTGGATCTAACTGCTAGCATTTATCTGAGTTTGTCTTGTTTGGAAAGGAAACCAAGAATATTTCATTTCAGGTCTTCAACTGAGTCTCCTAAATACACTTAAATCTTCACGTTGAATTTAAATGCAATGGAAAGTTTTATTATAGTAAATAAATGCTAAATTATTTCTATATTAGGAACATAATTACAAAGGAATTAAGTCTGCTGGCAAAGAGAAACCCATTGTTACAGAGCTGGTAAACTCCAATAAACATGTCCTAATGATCACTCTGTCTTCCCACACTTACAAGAACTGCCCCTCCATCCTTTTAAACTAAATACACAGGTTACTATCAGCATCTCAGATGCTTCCCATGAGTATCCTCCCGCGTGTGAGCACTGTGTCAGCCAGCGACAGACAACAAGGGACATGAAATAAGTATCTATGAATATATATACATATGTATACTGCATGAAATTCTCAAGCATTTGGGGGAGATTGATGCAGTGTACCCAGAGAAGAGTGGGCTTACATGTCCTGTGGTGTCAGGGCAGCACAGGACACAGTTAT